CGGTGAAGTGGCGCGTTCGAGTCCATGGAGATCGCTCCCCTACGGTCTGAATTTTCGAGAATGAACGCTCCTGGGAAGCTGACACCTGGCTGGCGATCGGAATGATAAAGTAAACCTGATTTGCGTTATGTATTTTACTGCCTACTGTGCCCTAGGGCCGTAGTACGGTAGAGTCTACCGGCCAGAGTAAAGCGTGACTTGCAGTGAGCTATGTACAAAGGGACGACATTTTTCTGTTAGAAAGTGACAGTGCCGTAAAGCGCATCCTAAAAAGACATACGACGACCTGACTCTGCAAGAATTTTGGGTAAGATAGGATCACTCTCCACGTCAGCCGATGCGATAGGAATGGCCAGGGGAAGCTTTGGACTGGATCTGCTTCTGCTGTTATTGTGTGTGGTGGTTGTCTGAGTGACTGAAGTCTTTTACCACACACGAAATCGCATTTTCTTTTTGCAAGGGGATTACGAAGGCTCAGCTGGCGCCGATCACGATCGTGATCGGCGCCAATCAATGGTGGCAACTGTACACTGCAGATGGCAAACAATTTGGTGCTTACAACGGTCTAATTGGGCATGTGCTGCGTCCAATAATCAAATATCCAGCGGTGCCTGCCTCAAGGGCCACTCACCGCTGTACATTACCACCTGCAGGTTGCAGTAGTCTCTAGAGTGTGATTGACGATCACTGATTGTGGATCCATGTACCGGAATCCATAGGTCAGAGGGTTGTTTATTTAACCTGTTTAGTTACTGGCCTCCAATCGATGAGCAGCCACAAAACGACCTTGACATGTCCTACGGGTACTGTATAACTGTCGATTGCGGTGACACCTCAACTAAGCAAGCTTCAAGAGGGAGGCGTTGGACTCGAACAGGTACATGGTGGCCAAGGGCATTCCTCGAAAACGCTTTTTTGTTTTTACAAATTGCATCAATGCAGTCCAGCAAAACACCATTAGAGAAAACGAAGACTTAATTTTTTTTAATAGAGCGTTAATTCGTTACTGTCAATGCTGAGCGACTAACTTATTTATTACATTACGAAAGTACACGCATGAAATTCGAGCTCGTATTGCGTACGCTATTACGACATGAGTGCTTAGTCACGCAAACTATTGGTTGGTGACGAAACTGGAAAATTACGCTGGTAAATCCAGAGGAATTTGTTTTTTCAGCGTGCATCTCAGAAAATAATACATAGGACATGTATTGCAATGGTACAAACGATCGAAGCATTCTACTGTAAGCACATGTCAATGTGAGCTTTGTGCTGCAGTGCATAAGATCGACTGCAGTTGTATTGTCGATGAATTAACCCGAGAAGCGAAATTATGGTTCGGCATTAGTAGTACAGCTTTGTAGTTCCTTTCTGAAGCATTTCAAGGACTAAATCACCACTTGAATGCGCTCCCTATCGAAATCCCGGTCGCGGGTCTTGCGAACGAACACTTGACGAAGAACATTAGGAGCCGCGAAGGCGAAGATCTTGGCCAGGACATGCTGGTCTGG